TCCTGGGTCCTGACACTCAGTCCAGGGTTCCTTCCACAGTAGCACAATTTACTCCAAATCCTTCAAAAATAAAGTAGTAGTCTACCTGCTGTGATGTCCCTTCTCCTGTGTTCGTTTCTGTGAGAAAATTAGGAGTGACGGCACTCAGTGTTTTGAATCTATCACCTCTTAAACTTCCTCAATCTGCAAATTATCAAGACCTTATCTACATATTTTTTATGTTGACTACAAAATATGGAATTCTATTGGGGCACCTGACTGGCTCAGTTGGAAGAGCATGCGACTCCTGATCTCAGGGTCATGAGCTGGAGCCCCAAGCTGGGTGCAGAGATTACTGAAAGTAAACTTAAGGAAAAAAAAAAAAAAATATATATATATATATGGAATTTAGTCATAAAAAGTGCTTTGTCATTTTATTTTCCTTATTTTTAAAGCAGACTTAATAATCGCACAACACACTGAAATAACCAATACAGCTGTCAACCAGATTATCCAAGTATAACTCTTGTCATATTATTGTATTTTCTTCAAAGATGATCTTTTTAGAAAATTTAAAACCAAATTTTCAAAACATCAGAATTCTAAAACTACCTTCCAAACTGATACAACTTCCCAATGATAATTTTAAATCCCAAAAGACAACAATCAGATTTAGGAATTCAGCAAGTTTTACATGGAGAGTTTTGTACTCATCATTAAGTCCAGGCACAATGAAAGAATTAACTATCATTACCTATCATGAAGGCTTAATGGAATTGGTAGTTGATGATCTTTGGTAACAGAAACAGTGTTTCTACCACATGAGAAAAGGTAAAAAGAAAACATTAAGAATTTGAACGGACGTTTACTATCCTGAAGTTTTCAAGATAAAAATTCCTTCAACAGAATAATTATGCTCCTTCAGTCACTGTAAGCAAAAGCTTCGGGGTCCCTTGACTGCTACTGGTAATTGCAAAAAAAAAAAAAGTACAGAAGAGCTTACAGACATCACAGTCCCATTTGCTGTAGTGACACTACTGAGCAGCGACCTAATGCTTAGCACAGATCCTGGGCTGTCCTCGAACAAGGGCATGGTAATTCTGGCTGCCTGTGCCCCTCTCCTCCATGTAAGAGGTCAGGTGCCCACCCAGAGGAAGAGGCTATTTCTGTTTCTAGGCCCAATTCCAAAACCAGGGGCATGTTCTGGAAGTCCGGACAAGAACCATCCTATTAACTGACAGCTGAAGAGTGGAGCCCAAGCTGGGTGCAGATTACACACCCGGGAACTGGCCGAGGTCTTACTCCCAGGCTGGCTGGCAGCTCACAGGCCACCTTGGTCTGGCCTCAGAAGCAGGTTCTCCTGCTGAGATTGCACACCTGCCCAATGCTGACAGCTGGGCCATGGAGGAGCCCAAACTTGGTGTCCAGATTTGAGGCAGGCCATAGGGAAGCTCCTCCTGCAGAGATACAGTGATAGCCAGCTGGCTTAAATCAATCCTTTGTTTTCAGACTTACATTTTATCTTGGCTGAAATTTCAAGTCCTGATGAAAATCCTACCATTATTCCAAATGGCTGCCTTGTCTTGAAATAACTCTTTAAAAATCTGAGCGCCACTGTTAAGTGCATACTACCAAGAGTTTACTTGTTTTCTGTAACCCTAGTGACGGTGATCTGTATGTTTCCACTCAGGTCCTTAAAGTAAAAAAGCAGCTGTTTAATATACAACACAGGACAAAAAACAAAACACAGCACTAGCAAAATTGAAAGAAAGCATGGACATTTTCACCTCCACTTTAAGTAGACTTCAAAAAATTCAGAGGATGAAATATATTAGAAGAGGTTCTTACCCTTTTGCAAACAGATATAGAAAAAAGTAAAAAGAGATGAAAAGGCTAGGGAATCTACACACTTCCTCCAGGCTTTCTCTCTTTTTTTGATGTCCCTTTCAGTCTCTCTAGGAAATTTAAGAAAAGCTTTCAGACCAGAGGAACACACTAGTGTGCAAAGAAAACAATGCTGTGTGAGTTGACTATGAAACAGTAAATATAAAATGGAGTTGTAAATGGAATGCACAGGAGCCATAACAAAAGATGACTTTAAAGATAAAAACTAAAACAAATTTTTTGTCATGTAAAAGCCCTTAAGTATCATCTTAATTGACATTTGGACTACCCTGTAAATACTGTAAACAGTGAGACAACCGTCAAAATCCCATGGGCCAAATGCTCCCAAAAGAATCAGTGTTCAAACTCCCGATGTCTTGTTTAACAATTACAGTACCACTCATCCAAGATAAATTTTTACAGCAAATCCATTCATTAAAAACTATTATCAAGCAACATTTTGTCTACTGGATGGCCAACAATGTTTCCTTTTACCCTTTGTTTTCATAAAGATTCTACATGAAAAGAAAACAAAAATCGGAAATGCATGAATATATGTATGTCTTTGAGGGTCAAAACTGCTTTAGCAAAAACAATCTGAACTGGATACCAAAGCCTAAAGATCAATAATCTGGAAATGTCAAAAACTTCTGGGCAACCAACTTGACTGCTAAACTATAAGACAGGCCTCATTATAACTTACAACACTCTAGTCATCCTCTGGGACCCCTTAAATTCTGTTAGCCACCTACACACTGTCTTCCTGGGCCATATCCGTGTATAAAGAAAACACTAGTGCTCAGCCAGGCAAGAAAACCCCACCTCCCCCAAGCTGTTAGGCATATTCTTCCCCCTGTTGAAAACAATTTAGAGAGCCCTCCATCTCTCTAAAGCATCCCCATGGTTTCAGACGACATTGAGCTTGTTCCTCAAAACATCTATTAAAAATAAATAAATAAATAACAGCTTGGGCACACAATCTGAAACCACTTTATGTTGTTGGCTGACTTTTTCACATATTCTTGTCTCATTTCTCCGTAGACTCAGAAAGCTGCTTGAAGGGTCTTATGTTTCTTTAGCACTACATAGCTTATCCCCAACTCGCTTCTTCCTTGCATTCGCAACGAATATTCACAGACTCCTAGAAAGTTATAAACTGAAAGGAGCTTTAAAGATGACTTAGTCTGAGCTCCACTTGAAATGAACTAGATGATTCATTAACCTTTGATAGCCCAGTTAGGCAGATCTACGTTCAAATCCTGTCTGTGGCACATTCTGGTTACAGAAACTGTTTTCTCATCTGTAAAACAGAGATAATACGTACCTCATAAAACTGTTGTAATGATCAAATGAAATAATACATATATTTTTATTTGGGACTTTTCATTTTCTTTGTCCTTGCTAAGACAATCTTTTTGGCTGATTTTCTTCCTAAATTATATTACATTAAACTGCAAGCTCACTCGGCAGGGCTTCCTTCCTACTGTATTTTCTAATCTTATGGTGCCTAGTCCAGTGGTAGGCATCTTTTGAGAGAGCCATAAACCAACCATGTGAAAGAATGTGTTAAGTCTCTATAATCACTACCTATTTAGGCAAATGTACAGTCCTTGAGTTTCCTCCTTAGGTCTGTGTGTTTCCTAAACTGTGCCTCTCAAAACAAACACACCTATCTCCCTACTCCCTCTTCCCACACACATACAACCTTCTTTTTAGAACTAAAAAACTAAATGAACCACGGCGTCCCACAAGTGTTGGAATAAAGTTAGCATCTTCACCAGAACACTCAGGAAACTGTGATTAAGTCAAGAGACAGGATCTGGAAGGGTTCACATTTCTGGAGAAGTTTCTTAGGATGCGTGGCATCAAGTTCTTAAACGAGAATTACCTGCCTATAACAAATGCTCAGCAGAGAGTGAACCAGAAACTCACTGGTGAGTTGGTGAAGTTAAATATTGCACTTCACTAACCAAGCAGTGACTAATAAGATTAGTTTGGGTTCTAATACTGGGTGTAGATATCCTTCAACAAGAATCAAGTTCCATTGGAAGTGCTGGCCCCTTAAAGTAAATTTAGATTTAAGGAGGCATACATTTTGCTTTTGAAAACACATTTTATTAGAAAAACACTGGCTCCATACGCCAGGACAAACGTGTCATTTCTTTCCTTTGCAAAGGGCAGCGACAAAAGAACCAATGGGTGAGAAGGGGGTAAGATTCTAGATCCCTGAAGAGGACATCGATGTCCACCAGAGTCAGGTTGGTTCTTTCAAGGAATATTTTTCTTAACAGCTAAAATGGTTTAACACATAATCAGCATCTTGTATCAATTACACCAATGCCATTAAGTAACCCTGGTGGCCTGGGAAAGGACCGCAACACACAGAAATCCTCCTGGCCTCAGCTGTAACCCCTCCTGCGAGGCTTGACAGCGCGTCCAAGGCGCCCAGACACCAGCCGCCAGGCTCCCCCCAGCGCCCTCCTCTCGCAGCGAATTGCCAAGGCTCTCGGGCCAAACTCCACCGTCCCTCGATTCAAAACCGCGAAAATGCGAACCCTGCTAAGCAAACGGCAGGGCGCGTAACAACTTTTCTTTCCCTTCTGCACGGATTTGAGATGCTGGTTTCTAATACCAACTTCTCAGGTCCACAGTCCACAGTTTCCCCGCACCTCGGGGTGGGGGGGTGGGGGGAGGAGGAACGGGGAAAAACGAGAGAGAGCGCGGACCAAAGAGAGGGCTGCGGAGTTCTAAAACCTCAGCGGTTTTTCGGTTGCGAGAAATTCAGTATACAGCAGCCCCATGATGATTAAATGCAAACATAAAGAAAGAAGAATGCTCTTCCCCTCACCTCTGCTACAAGGAGTAATAAACACATGCAGCAGGCATTAGGTGGAAATGCCGGGCCCTCCCACGGGCCGATGAGGCCCGCAAAGCAGGCCGTCTGGAATCTGGAGGAAGAAAGCCGGCAAAGTGGAGGCAGGCCAGGGCGTGAGCTTACAGCCTCGGTCCCGAGCCTGCCGCGGAAGGGGCCGAGGGGAAAGAGATGGGGGACTAAGTTGAAGAACCAGCCCCGCGCGCCGTCAGGACAGCGGTGCGGGCCCTGAGGCCCAAGGAGAGGCGGCCGAAGCTCTACTTACATAACGCTTCAACTTCTTCTCCGGGGGGGACTTGCGGAGCCATCCCGAGCAGACCACTTCGCCGCCGCTCATGGTGCGCGCCTCTCCGGCTCCCGGCCGGGCAGCGGAGGGGCGGGCGGGCGCGCTCCCGACGCAGCCGACGCCTGCCGGCGGCGCAGCGGCCAGAACCTGGCTCTCCCGAGGCGCAGCCGGGACAGACGGGACGCGCGGGCTCCGCGGCGCACTGCCTGTGCGCGTCCGAGCGTCTCTCGCACGGGTCCGCAGACGTGAACAGAAGCGGGCAGCGTCGCCAAGGCCGACACCTCGGGGCAGGGGCAGCTGCCGGGCCGAGGGCGCCCGGGCCTTTCAGTGCGCCCGCCTAGCCGCCAGGCGCGCCGTCCCGCCGGCCGCCTCAGCAGCGCTCGGGCTCAGCGAAAACTCTGCCCCTGAACGGAGCCGAGCCTCGGTCCCCTGCGCTCCGCCCCCTAGGAACAGGACCTCCCCAGGCGCTTTCGGAAACAGACACTACGTTGCACGCGCGCGCACACTCTCTCTCTCTCTCACACACACACACTCACTCACACAATGCCCCCGCGCGCGGCGCCCACTCCGGCTCGCCCCTTGGTTTCGGCGCGCCGGGCGCGATCCTCTCCTTCCCCTTCCTCGGGAGAGGGTGGGTCACTTCCCCGCGGCGCCCGGGGAACGGCGGGGGGCGGACAGAGGGAAAAGGGGAACCGCGAGGGTCTCCTGCAGGCGCAGGGCAGGTCCTGGGCCACGCAGGGAGCCGCCGCGGTGGCGGCGAAATGCGGAGCGTCGCTGGGCGGCGGGTGCTGGGCAGGGCGCAAGTCCCGCCGGAGGGTGGGTCCGCTCTCGCCGCCGCCGGAGAGGGCGGGGAGCGGCGGAGGAACGAGGCACTCGGCTGCTCCGCTCCGGGGACCGACCCCACTGTCCCGTCCCCTCACGTTCCTCCCGCGCCGCCTCCCCCACCGCGGGGCGCGCGGCAGGTTCAGAGCGGCCGAGCCTCCCGGTTCCCTCTTCCTTTCCTCCTCCCCTTCCCACGTTCGGGCCGGCTCCGGTTTCTGCCCAGACTTTCTCTGAAACTCCGCCGGAGCGCTTCCAGCCAAAACAACAAGGGCCGGGGGCGGAGGGAGCGGACGGAGGGAGGGAGCGAGAGAGGGAGGGAGCGGGAGTCCGAGAGGCACCCTGGGATCTGTAGTTCGGGAAGCTGGAACGGGGTCCTCAGCCGCCCTGCGGCAGCGGCGGCCGGAGCCCCTAGCCGGCCCCTAGCAGGGGAAGGCCGGGCGAGGCCAGGGCCGCCGGGGCTCGGGCCCTGGGAGGAGCGAGGAACGTTCGAGTGTCAGTTTGTGGTTTGCCATGTTGGCTCTGTCGGGTATCAGAGTGTGTAGTGTACACAAGATCAGGAGTTTGGGGGGTTTTCTGTACTTGACAGCCTGCAAGCAAAACAGCCCGGAGGGCGACCGCGACCCGGCGGATCCAGGCCGGGGAGACAAGGGCCGGGACCGGGAGGCGGAGGGGGGAGCGCGCCGTGGCGACTGGCCTGGTGGGGAGGACGGGGGAGGGGGGGGACCCACCCGGGCTGGCTTGGGTTGGTCCCCGGAGCAGGCCTGCCAGAGTGGTGGGAGCGCTTAGTGTGGCCAAAGCATTTGACTGAGTCTTTGTGTGGGACGTTTTAGAGTCTCACACTCCCTCCGTTTGTGGCCAGTTTCTTCCACTTGACGTTGTATTTGTTTAGAATCTACCCTTGGAATGTTGGTCTAGAACAGGGAGACTCCCTGGGTGTCCTAGTACTATTTGCCTACTGGTGTGTGTTGTTTTACAATTGTGACACCTGGTCCTGAGCTTACCATTGTCCTGTAATAGCAATATCTTTTCCAATTTATTTATGAAAAACAAAGCCCCAAAACAATTTTCAGAAGGTAATGTAAATAATCGGATAAAACTGCCAAAAATACTAGGAGATAAGTGGGCATTTGCTTATTAACACGACATTCATATTCGGCAGTTCCTCTCAGTTTGGAAAATGTACAATTGCAGTAGGGAGTTAGGTGCTGGGGTGGTGACCAAGATCCCTACACTCAGGGAGGTGACGTTCCTGTGGTGGCAGAGGATCGTAAACAAAGGGTCAACCGAAGTACAGATTGTGATAAATGTTGTGCCCTGAGGGAAACATATAGTAAAGTGAAAGAATAACTGGGGTGGACTCAGTCAGCTGGGGTGAGAGGTAAGTCTTCCTTCAAGAGGCATTTAGATGGAGATTTGTAAGATGTTGTGAAGAGAGGAGCATCTCAAGACTTGTTTTATGAAAAGATAAAAGGGATAACCTTGACCAGGGCAGAGGGAAAGAACAAGCGAGGGGACTTGTTTTTCTTAAGTTGTAAGGCTTTTTAGAATACCAGTGATTGTCATTTTTACAGCAGCTAATAAACCAGAGCAATTCTTTTTAAGTGTGTGAATGCAGATTTTGTCACAAGTCCAAAGGAAAATAAATCATTGAATTTGTTTTCCACTTCTCCCGTAGGAAATGTGTATATACACTGAGTATTTATAATTAACATTCATAAGATTAGTTCACTGTTGGCTCTAGAAAATTTATCACTATCTCCACTCCTGTTATAAAGTCTTTTTAATGGAAAATTGTAATATATCTTGTAATATTTAGCTTTTGGAAGTTCCAGTAAACTTTTCTTTATTTCAAATAAGGGATTCAGTTATCTCGTTTCTATGAGACAGAAGAATACTTGAAGAAATATTTAAGTATTTTGCCTATCTTCAACTGTGTTGTTTTAGATTTGTATTTCAAGAGATCAAATAAGGGTTGAGGAGAGGTTGAAGATAGACACAGCTTCATGTGTGTACTTTAGAAAGGACATTTGCATTATTTTAACATATGCCATTTTTAGATTATCTGTTAAATCACATTTTATATCTTTATACATTAAAATGTATGCTGGAAAAAGCTATCACACGTAAGATTCTTAAATTTCATTCATACAACGAATACTTATAGAATATCCTGGTATGTGCAAGTCCCTGAGGACCTGGGATAGGATAGGGAGGAAAGCCAGACCTGTTCTTGTACTCCTCTATCCTGGAGAAACACATTTTACAGATAATTAGCGCTGTAACTTCTACAATACAGTTATGTGTGGTATGCAATGGTGTGAAAGAAAAGTAGAGTTTTATCTGGGCGTATTAACAGGAAGATCTGTCCCTGGGAGGAGAATGAATAGGTTGGGATAGACTTCCCTGAGGAAAAGACTTTAAACGGAGATCCTCAGGTTGAGTGGAATCAGCCTGGCAAAGCAGCAGAGAGTATTCCAGACAGAGGAACTACTAGGTGTACAAGTCCTCAGTGTAGAAGGAGCTCCCGAGGACCTGAATGAAGGCAGCAGTGAGGCAAGTGAGAGGGACATTGGACTGAGTAAGGCTACAGGCAAGGGACAGGTTGCACACATGCTTGCAGATTAGAGTTGAAACTTTTTCTTAGAGCAAATGACCATATCATTTCCTGTGGTTCAAATCACCTCAAACAATCACCACTATGGACTTTGTCATTCACTTCCAGCATCCTCCTTTAACCACATGTCCTCTAACTTGATCTTTTAAGATCTTCCTGTGTAATCTTCTTAACAGCTTTTCTAGCCTATTAACACTTCGCCTTTGGATGATCCATCAGACCTCTCCTTTCTCTGCTTCCCCCTTGTCCGGTTTAAATTCCATGGTCCATATTTTTAATGACATGGTCCCAACTCCCAAAACCCAATTCTGAATGAGCCCAACTCTACTTTCTTCTGCACCCAAGCAACCAGGTGCTGTTGGAGGGAATCACCCAACAGGATAAGTGGCATCACCATAAATTCATGTTCAAAGACCTCAAATAGATCCTCAACTTTCTAAGGAGGACAGGTCTTAGTTTTCTGGGCCCTAAATCTTATATAGTTTGGAGAGTGCTTTTAAAGGAAAAGAATATACAATTACAAATATCAAATTAGGATGAATATGTGTTTAGAATGAGGACATGAATGGCAAACATATTTACTGGAGGCATGGAGATACCGGCGCCTTTCTTTTGAGGTCTCTACAATGATTACCAGAATCCTTACACAAATATGCTTCCTGAGTGCATCCTGGCTTCCCCTCCCAGCTATGACTCTCCATCTCTCCCAGCAGCTCCCTACCATCAGGGGAGACCTGCGCTGAAGTTTCATTAGCTTTATGGCTCTCCCTGCTACCTGGCGATCCCACTTCCTTTATCTGGAAAGTGCACTAGCCTACCCTCTGCCATAACTTGTCTTTAAAAAAAAAATAGCTTTATTGAGCTATAATTCACATATCATAAAATTCACATCTTTAAAGTGCACAACTCAGTGATTTTTAGTGTACTTACAAAACTCTTCAACCTCACTACTATCTAATTTCAGAATATTTCATTGCCCCCCAAAGAAGCCCCATCAGCAAAGAAATTCCCATTAGCAGTCACTCCCCATTCTCCCCTTCCGCCTGCCCCTAACAACCACTTAATCTTTCTATTTGCCTCTTTTGGACATTTATATAAATGGAATTATACATTAAGTGGCCTTTTGTGACTGGTTTCTTCCAATTAGCATAATGTTTTCCAGGTTTATCCATGTTATAGTGTATATCAGTACTTCATTCCTTTCTATTGTTAAATAATATTCCATTGTATAGATATGCCACATTTTTCTTATCCATTTATCAATCGATGGGCATTTGGATTGTTTCTACTCTTTGGCTATTATAAATCATGCTTGCAATAACTCTTAAACCGTCTCAAACTTCTCAAATTTCCAACTCCCCACCATCCCCATTAACTGAAGATCTTTTTTACGGCATCACCAGAATGCCCAAGTGCTCAGATGTAAACTCCAACCTATGGCCATCAGATATGCAAAGCTACATACTGTCTTCATTCCTCCTACTCTCCCTTCTTCCTATGGCAAATAGAAAACATCGCTTTCTTCCTATGAGAGGCCAATCTGTCCACTTATGCTTTGGATTTCATCCCAGTGCACCTTCTCAAGAACCTCATCTCTTCTTTCTTTATCCAAATACTCTCAATGTAGTCCTTTCTATTGCCATCTGTGTATGTATGTATTCCAATAAAACTTTACTTACAAAAGCAAATGGTGAGCCAGATTTGGCAAAAGGGCCATAGTTTGTCAAATTTTGCTTTATGCCATCATGATCTGATTGGGTGCACATTAACACACACACACACACACACACACACACACACACACACAC